AAATGAATAAAAATAATAAATGTTCTAAATGTGTGCTCGCACACCACGTGCGGCAGTGACAAAAATTGTGTGATACATCTGTATAAAAGCCTTATGAGATAATAATCCATACGTCTGCAAAACGAAGCCCCGCCGCGGTGGTCTAGTGGCTAAGGTACTCGGCTTCTGACCCGCAGGTTGCGGGTTCGTATCCCGGCGTCAGCGGCTACTTTTCCGATGGAGGCGGAAATGTTGTAGGCCCGTGTACTCAGATTTTGGTGCACGTTAAAGAACCCCAGGTGGTCGAAATTCCCTCCACTACGGCGTTTCTCATAATCATAAGGTGGTCTTGGGACGTTAAACCCCACATATCAATCAGTCTGCAACATGAAGCACCTTACAAATGCTTTACCCCATCTATCATCCAAGCATTCGCCTATCTATGGGTGCATTTCCCCATAGAAAGCGTCTACACGGAGTGAAATGAGTGGCCACTTCATCTGCAGAGATCCTGCATATAGTTTGTGTATTTCCTGAATGTGAACGCAAACAGAGAACACCCCTCACACACCACAGTCATTATAGTCATCCTTAACTCTTTCTCACAACAGCCCTTCTTTGCAACAGCCCTATGCGCTTCGTGAGGGGCCTGGAGGAAGAAACGGTTGTGCCACTTCTCGAACATTATCTGGCGGCTCCCGCGAAAAATCTGGCCACATAGCATTGGCAGTTAATAGATAGAGATGTGTCATTAGTGTAAGTTACGAAACATGCAACTTTTGCGCAAACTTGCATGCACTTTCTTAAACTGCAGCAGAGGTACACCTGTTCCTAGTTTTTTCCGAATGCGCCTAAATCTCACACTGCTTTGCCATACGCAGCCCTCAGTCCATGTTTTGGGGGCAAAGCTAGCAAACGCAGTAACATTTGTGGAATCTCTTAGTTTGATAAAAGCTTCAAAACCTACGACAAAACAGAATAATCGTGCGCTTATCTCACTAAACGCCACTTTATTTGAAGGTTACACGCTTACAATGCATATCGCGGTGTGCTGGGGCCCAGGGCACCGCGGGATTCAAGGAAACGTGTTCACGGAAGAGCTAGCAGCATCTGCCCATGAAAGCACCCCCCATACAGCCATAAATGTCCATGCACTTGACGTTAAACCATATCTTAAACCAAATCAAAGGAATCATTGGCAGTGTCTATGGGACAGACAAACGAAGAACAAACTTCATCTGATGAAACCACATCTCAGTAATTGGCCGTTAGTTTCAAAATCACGCCACACAGAAGTCACACTCACCAGATTAGGGACAGCACCCACGCATAGTACACACTCATTTCCTATCACACATCAATGCCATACTTTATAGCCTACACACACCTACTATGATTTTATATAGCGCGTGTTTTTAAGCCTCTATACATCCACAATTCACCCCGTCATTGCCCTCATTGGTCATAGCTTACAAAACATAAAAGATATCATGCTTTTTGGCTATCCATGACCCTCGCGCAACTGATCTCCACTAATTATCTTCAACAATGCACATCACACACATTTTTTGGCTATACTCATACAGGCATATATATGACAAATACCTTATCAACATCATCGAAATTCACATACAATTTTTCATTCTTTTTGTTTTTTATTTATAGCTAAAATTGGACGACTATTTTTCGCAGTTTATGGGCACAACGACAAGTAATACTGGAGTTGCTCAAAACGAATACTTCAGTATAGTCAGCCGTACGCGCACAAAAGTGTAGAGCATGGGTAAGTTTCAAAGCTTACTATAGCGCTAGAGTCACTTAACCCACGTAGGAGCGTCACAGGCAAGAGTCGCCTGACTCCCAAAGAAGTGGTAGTGAGAGTCCGTTCACTCTTCTTAAGAGGGTCAGGGGACTCTGCTAGAGCGCGCTGACTATGACTTACGAAAAGAGTCTACCTGTCTCTCTTAGGAGAGTCGTATAGGTTGACAAGTCAGAGCCCTTCGAAAAGGCACCCATCCTCTTTTTTTGTTTTTAGAGTGTACGTGCGGTTTTCTACGTAAGCCACGTAGGTTAGTTAAATGTTATCGCCTGACCTTTTCAGATGAAACTCATTTTGGTTCACTTGCGCAAAGTATTCATAAGTGCTTTTGCAGTACATGGATCTCACAACAACCTACGCAGAAAGTCGCGTGGGCTCGCAATCTTTTCTTTCATAACTGAGCAGTCATTTACGGTCAGCGTTGCACCACTTGTTTATGTACGTTTGTTGGTGGATGGCAACAAACTGGAGGCGACTTGCTTGTTCTTGGCTTTCAGAGCAGAAGTGGCGAAATGTTCTCTACGTCCACATAAACCTGCTGACGTGGTGTTGTTATAATATCGAAGTCGTTCGGCGGAAGCAATGTTTAAGATTTTTTTCACCACATTTAAAAGGCTATAAATACACCGAGTGTAAAAGCGACGATGAAATATCAGCTGCTAACTCACGAGAAGTGGGATTTCAGTTCACATCCCGTCGTGCGTTAATAATTTTGCACGTTTTTAAGTTCGTTTGGTTGTATTCAATGCGAAGCATTTTTAGCGAACTTTGGCACTATTTAGCGTATCTATCTATCTAGCCGTTTAAGTTTGGGTGTTCTCGTTGTCACCCCCTTAACTTGGCATGAACCTATATTAGCATGAGAGAGTAAGATGGTTCGGCGAATAGGACGCGCTGGTCAAGACATGAATAATGTCACAATCCCGTCGCGTACGTCGTCAAACACTTCCCGCCAGACAGTGGCACACACCCACGGGTGGGTATATACCACTGGTGCCACAGATGATTGAAACTTAGTACCTACCCAGGAACGACGAGAACACACATAGGCAATTTTAACGCGTGAGCGTTGAAAAATACCCGACATTGGCAGCGTCGACCCGATGAATCCAAAGAATAAATGTCAGGTTCCGAGTTGGAATAGAACCCGCGTGGCAGTGAAGCATTTACCCATAGCCACGCCAGCTCTTGGAACTACTTTTCAAATAGGTGCTAATCTTCGGGAAACGTCAATGGGGGATGCAGTGCTGCCTAAACAAATTTTAAACATTACATATGTGCTCCTTTGACACAGCCGTTAAGTCGGTTAACGTCAATTGCAGTAAGTTGCCATGCGCTGAAGTTGGTTTATGTAGCAATGTCCAAGGCCAGCATCCTCGCGAGCCTCAGCGCTTCATATAAGCTTCTGGTGTTGCTAATACCTATGTTGCAATTGGCATTGTTGCGCAAGTTCTAACAACTGGTTATATAAACATGTGCACCTCTTCAACAAACGTCTTGGCGTGCAACATTTGTGCATATATTTAGCGTTATTTCATGGCGTATCGTTCAATAAAAAATTACACGTTGTGCATGTTTTGCATAACGTAGTTTCTCAGGTAGGTAGTACCTGCCGTTTTTTAAATGTATCGTATTGTTCAGCAAAGTCAAAATAAAAGCATGTTTGTTTTGTTTTTGTTTAGCATGCATGCAGGGCGATTACTGCGGATATCATGGAGCACCACCCGCCACCAACGCGCTCGAGCTCTACCAGCAGAGTCAAATGAATTGAGCGATCAAAAGCGCAGTTACGACTACAATGCACGTCTCCCTGCTAGCTTCTTCTACTACCAGCACTTTCCGAAAGGTGTTTTTCGACGAACGTGTGTCTACTTGTACATATTCGAGTGCTTTGGCATTTCACCTCATGAAAATGCAGCCGCCATGTGCGGCAATTGAAGCTGTTTTTCGAGCTTGATTATTAGCTGCTTTTCGAGCTTGTTATTGGTCTATAATTGATAGACGCCTGTAGAAACATCAATTTATTGCGATAGCAATTATATGAACACTCGTGAATGGATTCTCTCGCCGGCGTCACTCACCGCATATGTATACGCATCTATATATATATGAAAATGCAAAAAAGAAAAATAATTCAGAAAAAGACTTCACGAGTGGAGTCGAACTTGATGCCCCTGCATTGCTGGTGCAAGGAGTTAACCACCAAGCCACCGAGGAGCACGTCCTTCAATGTTCAAACGGCAAGCTATTTGTATCCAACCCTTACCGCCAGTGTCAGGCATCTTGGAGGAGGGGAGGAGGGCTATCATGTTTTGAGCATAACCAGCAAAATGGCACAATGTATGCGCGTAGCCGCATCATCATAACGTGGCGGAGAGCGCACTCATCTCCAACGCGCACTTTGCCCCGCGGTGAGCAGGAGGTCGACTCTCACTTGCAGGCCTTTCTCTCGCGCTGGAAAGGATCATACGACTTGGCTGGCCTTAGGCTTTTACTGGAACAATTCTGTTGTAGTTACAGGGCGCACAAAGGCCACTGCAATCGTTGCATAGCCTACGTTTGAGGAATTAAGCAGGCTATTTAGATACAGTGAAGTAACAACTGAGACGCTTATTCGCGTTCGTCTGTACCTTAGAGTACGTTTCGTGCGTCATTTGTGCGTGAGAAACGCGGGGCACGTTGTGATCAGCTGGCCATTCTGCACATGAACTTCCAATTTGTTGCTATCGCGTTTATTGCTTCGCCTTTGCGGTAAAGCTGTGACTTTTTGTTAGTTTTGCTCGGAAGGCGTGCATAAACACTGAATACAAGTTGGTGGTGTGACGTGCTTCAGAACTGAAACGGCGCATTTGATTCCTGCATTAGAATGTGTTATAAAACGTATTCTTCACTTGACAAAATTTACTTTCATTCTATCACGTCTGGCCTTTTACCTCATTTGTGTTGTATGCTCAGTTTCTTAATATTTTTCGCTAAGTTCTGGAAAAACAAATAACTCTTGTTCTTTTCACTCAGTTTGCTATGTCTTTTGTCACGCTGCAGGCAACAAAAGAAGTGCGTAAAGAGGAATATATCGCAAGAGGCTAGAGCATTACCACCATTCGTGCACTATATTCGAACATTGAGCAGGTTACTGAGATTCGACAACTACACAGTATAAACTAAGACAGCATTTCCCTTTTGGCGAGGTTGTTCCACTCACCTTTCATCGTATCTGTTGTAATTCAGGTCAACCCTAAAGAATGTCTCTGTTAAAACATCTTTTAAATAATACAAACACGTCAGTGCATCGTTATTCTTATACATCATGTAGCTGGTGTAGTACACATAAATTCTTGAAGTGGTGTTGAGCAGCTGCAATAAATACAATTCAGTATATCAGCGAGGGAAAATTTCCTTACTTGGCAAACAGAAAGTTAAATTTTATAAAATATTCGAGCCCTTTGGTACTGGTAGAATTCAGATTGGTTTCAATATTGCCAAATATAGAGTGTGCCATACCCACCGCCATTTCTACTACTGGCGCTCACTTGCACTTCCACGTTTAATGCACATATGTACCGTGTGAAATGGACGGGGCGATAACTGCCGTGGTAGCTTTGTTGGTAAAGCATTGGGCGCATCAATTGAAGGTCGCAGGTTTGTTCTCTGCCCATGGGAAGTTTTCTTTTCTTTCCTATTATTTGCAATGTTTATTGGGCATAAATACTCTCTGATTTGGAGCAGCGAATTCCATTTTACCTTCATTATCACTGCCTTGTTGTATCAAATCTTGTATGAAGTTGTCAAAGACGAGGTTTGTGCACGTTCCCCTGGGCGTTTCAACGTTCATTGTTTCGAGTCCTACAAATTGCATCGTAGAGCTATGTCTTGACGTCATGTACTTAACAAGCCACTCGTTTTCCTTGATCATCATCGTCATTATCATTAGCATCGTCGCCATCTTTACGGCAGGTACAAAGTGTATGCTGTACCGTGATGGTAGAAAGAGAATATCTGATGTGCGATTTGTTGTTCTTCATCAGCGTCATCGTTATCGAGGGACGACGACAGACATTGCTACATCAAAAGGAGCTTTGCTGCTGCAACAGCTGGTTTCTTTAACCTTCTGTTTTGCTTTGTTTTTTTGCGCTTTGCTTTCAGGCAAATGACCTTCAACAGAAATGTTGCGCTGGCTTTCTTCTACATATACACTTTTCAAAGTTGTGAAATATTCTTACTTAGAAATCTGTTGGCGTTAGGTCGTGTTTTTGTCATTTCGTTAGTTTTTCTTTGTTTAAGGTTAGCATAAGAAAACCACGAAGGTACATGTAAGTTAAGCTTAATAACTACAGAAAAAAACATTAGAAACACAATGCTGATGGTTCAGGTTTGCTTTGTGCGTCAAACTGTAAGAAATTGACGTAAGCAAAAACAAGACCACAGCAGTCAGTTTGTTTGGTTTGTTTTTTTAAAGCGGACACAGAGACAGGACAAAATAAAGGCACATAGGCACGCAAGCCACATCTAAATACTTTTTTTTTGCTTACAGGAAGCTTATTTCGCAAATAAGTTCTCGGTTTCATCACTTTGAATGTACTTGCATATAGCAAAAAGGATTGGTGATCCCTCCATCATAGCAATCGTTAAAACATGCAAGTGGAACGTGTCTTCACACAGCAAGTTGAAGGTTTATGCTCCACTGTTTTGTCACAAAGGTGGAATCATGAATGCTACAGAAACAAATTGGAATGTCACTCGAAAAACGGCAAGTAGCTCGTATCTTGAAGCGTGTTACAAAAAAAAAAAGACCCGGAAAAAGGACACAACTAAGAATAGCGCGAACTAACAGCGGTCGCGGTTGTTTCTCGTTTGTGTTTTCGAACAGCGTGCCGTAAACCCAAACGTGGCCGCTTCAGCAAGCGAAGTGACATTCGTGCACTCTGCAACTGCAATATAAGCTTACAAAGTAGAAGACGCGGTGTTCCCCTTTCAACCAGACAAGGGCCCGCATACGGGCAACCACGTCTGTAAGGCAAAGTGTACGTGGCGCACGCGTGCTTCACAACAGACTAGTTGACGACCTTTGAAGTGAGCCCTTCCTGTTTTTCATGCCATCCCACTAGTAATAACGAAAGTATGTGCCTTTGAGATCTTCATGCCATATATTATCGACACGCGCTTAATTTCCCAGCGTGAAACAGGCAGACAACGACGCAGCAGTTTTCGTGCACGTGCCTTTGTTTTGGTTGTTCTGTGCCGACCACTCTTAGGGCGACTTCGACCTTGTGTAGCCGCTTTACAAACGTCACCTTCCTTTAGAACGTGGCAATGTATATAAGTAGCTCTCGCTTTGTGTACTGAAGAATGTAGGCTTTGTGGCCGAGTCATAACTCGTCGCGTGTTGCAGTGCGAGAGGACATTTATTTGATTTACTGCAACTTTTTTTCTATATTGGCATCTAATGTGCGAACAAAAAATGAAAAAACGATGCAAATAAGGGTATACAGAAATACGGGTCAGAGTGGGAATTGATCCAGGGTGGTTTGCGTGGCGAGCGTATGTTCTACCACACGTCAACATGTCTGCTTTGGAATAGTGCGAAAACGAAATAACTTCCTCTGCTTCGAAAATCAATAAAAGTAACACATGCTCTACAAACACGCGCACCCTGTATGCATGATTCAATATACAACGTAAAATATTGCAGTAATGTAGCCTAGTAGAAGCACCCATTGCCATCTGGCATCAGAAGATGTGATAATTCTAATGGCTTCTTTGTTTAGAATCGTTGATCCACTACAAAAGGCACACACACTACTGCGCCTTTTCCTTTAAGGCCACGTAGTCGTTGCATAGAAAATTCGAAAGAGGCTTCATGCATTAAGAGTTTGAAGTACGCAGTCGGAACAGAATATTACTATCGCGCTCAACTCTTAAAATGCTAAGCTTTAGGGTACCTTAATTTTAAACGCGACAGCGTTGAGCAGCTTGTTTCGCAGAAACCCTGGTGCATTTCGCAAAATTTGTACTGCACTTTTTTCTGTAGCTTTTTCTGTCATCTCTATGTATAGCTTTTACAACGTCATACACTTGACGGAAATAAATCAGTAGGTCTTGATGGACTTTGTAATAAAACGCTTTCCCGTAAAGTAAAAGAAATGAAACAAAACTCAACACCGCACACGCATTTTGGACCACTCCTAGAATCACCCATATATCTTTTTTTATGCGAAGCATTTCTTAGAGAAATTTGGTGACTTTGAGCGTATCTATCTATTTAGCCGCTTACGTTCGGGTGCTCTCGTGGTCACCCCCTTCACTTGGCACGAACCTAAGTTGGCATGAGAGGGTAACATGGTCTGACGGAAATGACACGCTGCTCAAGACATGAAGAATGCCACAATCCAGTCGCGTACGTCGTCAAACGCTTCCCGCCAAACAATGGCACATACCCACGGGCTGGTATGTGCCGCTTGTATGCCACAGGTGATTGACACTTAGTATATACCCAGGAACGACGAGAACACACATGCGGAAGTAGAACGCGTGAACGTTAAAAAATACGCGACATTGGTAGCTTCAACCCGAAGAATGCAAAGAATAAATGTCAAGGTCCCAGCTGGAATTGAACCTATGAATTGTGCACGGTAATGAAGCATTTCACCGCAGAAGCTACGCAAGGTCTCGTAACTAATTCTCAAACAGACGCCAACATTCTTGAAACATCCATAGTGGTTGCAGTGCTGCCTACCCAATTTTATAAACACTACATACATACTCTTTTCGTACAGCCACCACGTCGGGTTAATGTCAGTTGGATTTAGTTACCACGCGCTGAAGTTAATTTTTTAGCAGTGTCTAGGGCCAGCATTCTCGCGAGAATCAGTGCTTCTTATCAGCTTATGGTGTTGCTAATACGCATGTTCCAGCTGGTATCGTTGCGCAAGTGCAAACAGCTGGTTATACAAACATCTTCAACTATTTGACAAACGTCTGTGCATGCAACATTTGTACATATAATTAGCGTAGCGTGTCGCTCAAATAAAAAAATGCAACACGGTCCCCTTCCTTCCACATGCTTCACATAACGCCGATTCCCAGGTACGTGGGACCTGCCATACTTTTTTGAGTGTGGATTTGCTAATCTTTTATTTATGTCGGTTCACGTCACCACAAAAGTGTCTTCAAGAATGGTTATGAGTGACAGAAAGCAAGCCAAACAGGTGCAATTGCCTTTGAGGGTAATGAAGCCACAATCAGGAAAATACTCAATATTGACCGTCTACTCACTACGCTTCCTATTGACCAACTCGAGAAAAAATAAACCTGATTAAGTCAGAAAAATTAACATATTGCAAAACAAATATTGTGCTAATACAACGAAGTGCATGGCGCTTGATCGAACCGAGCCCGCCTGATATAATTAGATTCTTTTTGTCTAATATGTTAAGTAAGCACAAATAAACCAAAAAGGTGGACTTTAGGTATGTATAGTGAAGTGGTATATTAGAGGATGATAATTTTAATTAGCAGGACATAATTAGTCATATTTAGCTGAGCCTCAGAAAGCCCCAGTAACACAAGCAATCAAGTTGGAATTCGTAATGAGACTAGTCAAGCTGATCTGTAGATTATACTAATAACTGTTGTCTGCGCTGACCTTACTATCATAAAAATTTCAGCACTGATGATGGTACTAAAACAAATTGCAACTAATGAGGTTTTAGGCAACTGAACGAAGCTCATTCGAGATGCGACCTTTCTGTCGCATGATAATGGTAGTGAACCTTCATTGGGATGATTATGTCTACTTTAGTCTAATGGAGTTCAGAGCATCTGCTTTGTGACTCAGCGTTGTGCCTGTGGTGTGAGCTGTTTTCAGGCAAAAAAGTACGCGACCTTCATGGACACTTCAAGTGTAACTCATGATCCGATCTAAGGCCGCTGAGTGCGCCGAAGCTCATCCTTCTTTGAAGAAATAAAACAGGCACTCACCTTGTCAGGCAAATATCAAGATATACTGACGTTTCTGGGCAACTACGGCATCCTTGTATTCAATGAAGAGAATGCAAGAGGGTGCGACAAAGTTGCGCAGAGTGTGCATGTATATCTCGGGAATATTACCCCGCGTCCGGTTAATCGTGTTTGTGCCGTTTTAATGGTTTTAATGTGCAGTGATTCTAAATCTAATCGCACTGGTTGCCTTGGCAGATCATCATTTGAACATTTGAACATTCTGTAAGCATAATTGTGATATAGAGGTGTTTATCGACATGGCTACTTTTAATATCACTGCAAATTCAAACGACCACAAACGAGATTAGCCGGACGCAAGGTAATCTTTCTGCGATATGCATGCGCACTCTCCACCG